AGCCCAGGCTGGCCTCGAACTCACAGAGATCCGCCTGGCTCTGCCTCCCGAGTGCTGGGATTAAAGGCGTGCGCCACCACCGCCCGGCTGTATTTCTTATTTAATAAGACGGTTACTTCTACAAGGTATCCTCAGCACTACATAAAATCAGACATGTTGTGCATTCATGTAATCCCAGGATTTGAGAGGTAGAGGCAGAAATATCAGAAGTTCAAGATCATCCGTGGCTACATGGGGACTTCAAGGCCAGCCTGAGCTACATGACACCCTGCCTTGAAATATACATATACATTTTATAGTGAATTGTTTTTATGTAGACAGCATGGGGAAATGTTTTCTTCTTTGATTGTCTTTAATGTTTTGATTGATAAAATCTGTAAAAAATCAAAAGATTCAGAGAGAATGGGCTGAAATATTTCCAGTGCACTTTCATGAGCATCCCTGTTGGACACCAGTATAACTGAACTCAGCTCCGGTCTTACGGGAGTCCTGCCTTAGCGCGGTAATTTCACCTCCCTGAGTCTGTTTCCTTGTCTTACTACACAGAGGACAATGACACGCTCCTTGGGCTGGCAGGAGGTCTCCTGCTTTTCCTGTGGCTGTTATAAAACACTCTGACCAACACCAACTTGGGGAGGAGAGAGTCCATTTTGTCCAATGCTTCTAGGTCACAGGCCATCATTGAAGGAAGTCAGGGCAGGAGCACAAGCAAGAGCCAAAGCAGAAACCTCAGGGCCACTGCTCACGGGCTCCCTCAGGCGCAGAGTCGGGTACCTTTCCTACTGAGCCCAGCTCCACCTGCCCTGAAGTGGCACCACCCACAGTGGGCTGGGCCCTCCCGCATCAGCTAACACTCAAGAAAACGCCCACAGGCCCATCTAATAGAGGTAGCTCTTCAAGTTGTGTCAAGTTGACAGCCAAGGTTAGCTGTCACAGAGAGCTTAGGAGTCGGGTCACACGGGGTGTCTGTCCCCCACAGCTGGCAGTGGAGAAGCACTCGGTCAAAAGTAGATCTCTTCTCTCTGTGTTCATTCATTCATTCTGACCTGGCAGCTGGGACATGCCTTTGTCCCTAACCACGTGCAAGAATCCGTGCTTCTGGCCCACACTCACGCCACAGCAGACACGGGACAGTAAACTGGATGGGCGAGGTTCTGCTAGCCCTGGGACTGCCAGCCAGTGCGAGCCAAGGTTATTTCTACGTCCAGATCCGAACTGATCATCAGCTGCAGCACAGCCCCTCCGGGAAGACATGGAGTAGTGGGAAGGACAGTGTGTGCTCCAGAGGGGACCACGAGTCGGGTGGCTGATGTCATCCCTGCAGACACCACCACCACAGCCCCCAGGTCACTGTCACCCACGGGCAAAAATGGATCCCTCCTTGGGATGTCCTTGAGAACCCACTGGGGCCTAGGCCCTGGCCCCTCTTCCTGACTCTTGCTGCTGCTGGAGTCCCACAGACAGGGCTACAGTGCGGGGTCAGGTGTCAGCTGCACCAAGACGTTGTCCCAGCCCCCACACAGACCAATGTCGATGTCTCCTCCTCCATCTCTCTCCGTCTTTTTTTTTTTTTAGACAAGTTCTCTCTCTAAACCTAGAGCTCACTAGTTAGCTAGACTGGCTGACCAGCAAGCCTCCGGGATCCTCCTTGTCTCTGCCTCCCAGCACTAAAAGCCTTTTACATGGACGCTGGGGATTTGAACTCATGACTTCTCACTTGTGCAGCGAACATTTTACCCACTGAGCCATCTCTCTGGCCCCTGTATTCTTTATCAGCAGTGGACATTACCAGCGTCTTTGCCAACGTCTAGTCTTGTATCCTCTGTCTTGCCCTTTCTCGTATGCCTCGGTGGAAGAATTGAGGATGTCCCTCCAGGAACGTGGTTTTCTTCCCCCTGTACATCATGTGACAGCCACCTGTCTCTGCTTCTTCTCCAGTGTTCGGTCGAGTGTGGCAGTGGGACGCAGCAGAGGGAGGTGATCTGCATTAGGAAGAACGCAGACACCTTTGAAGTGCTGGACCCCTATGAGTGTTCATTCCTGGAGAAGCCCCCGAGCCAGCAACCCTGCCACCTCAAGCCTTGTGGAGCTAAATGGTTTAGCACGGAATGGAGCGTGGTAAGTCACAGTCGTCCATAGATGGCTCCGGGCAGGGTCCTGGGCCCACCCCAAGAAGAGAGGCTAGATCCCCCATGGCACCTACTCTAGGTAGTCACAGTGAGGGGACCCTGTTCAGTCGGGAAACCCTGAAGCCTGCAGATTTGGGTTTCTACACAGACATCTTCCTAATGTGATGATTCTTGAGCTTTAGGGTGTATCTAGGGGTCTCGATTGAAAAGACCGATTCGGGGCCCCTCCTGGCTAAGACATTTGTGATTTAACAAGCAGAATGCAGGTGTCCTTGGGCTACAGTTTGACAAACATTGTACAGAGAATGGTGGTTGAAGGGACTCAAAGATAATGTCAGACTACTACACTGTCAGCGGACACAGGAGCATACACTTGCCACCCCAGCACCGGAGAGGTGGAGCCGGGGGGTCCCTGGAGCTCAGTGGCCAGCCAGGCTAGCCAGAATGGCGAGCTTCAGACTCAGTGAGAGCCTGTCTCAAGAACACAGAGAGCTAGGCACAGTAGTGGTGCACATCATTAATCCCAGCACTCGGGAGGCAGAGGTCAACGGATCTCTGTGAGTTCAAGGCCAGCCTGGTCTACAAAGCGAGTTCCAGGCCAGCCAGGACGATATAGCGAGACCCTGTCTTGAAGAAAATTTGTTTTAAGTTTTAAAAATTAAAAATAAACAAGCATAAGACAATGGAAGGGAGACCTGTGAGTTTAGGTTAAGAATCATAAAAATATCAGCCAACTACAAAGTGTAACTGAGATATGGATCCTGACATTTTATTACTATTATTTTTAAATTTTTATATGTATGTATGGGTTTTTTGCCTACATGTATATCTGTGCACCACCTGCATGCAGTACCCATAGAAGAGGACATCAGATCCTCTGGGACTGCAGTTACAGATGGTTGTGAGCTGCCATGTGGGTGCTTGGAATTGAACCCAGGTCCCCTGGAAGAGCAGCCAGTGCTCTTAACTGCTGAGCCATCTGTCCAGCCCCCTGTTTCATTTAGTTTTTTTTTTAAATAATGCTTTTTATTTACCATTTGAAATTGTCCTACACTTACACAATGCATTTCATATCTATCCATCTCTACTTCCCTCCAACATGACCCTGATTTTTAAAGAAAATAAAAGCTTTTTTTAAATAGATATGATTCACCAAATTAAAAAAATGGGACTAGCACCACTAAATATATAGATTTGGAAATAATAAGGTATAGCAATGGTATATGCTTAAGGCTCCTTCTTTTATTGGAGCCATAAAATACTATGGGAGTTGTGATGGGAGTCTAGAATTCCCTCAAAACACTACAAGGAGAGGGGGCGGGAGGGGGGCAGACAGGACAGAGAGCCGACCTGCTGGGTGTGGGAGCTGGTCAACAAGCATGTGGAGGTGTATTTTAGCGCTCAATTTCCCGTTTTGGAGATGTTTGAATTTCCCCCTGATCTTCCACTCTGGCGTGGGGATCTAACAGCCTGCTGAGGAACCTGGTGTTTTCCTTCTTTTGGCCACACAGTGCTCCAAGAGCTGTCAGGGCGGATTCCGAGTCCGGGAAGTACGGTGTCTGTCAGATGATATGACCCCGGGCAGCCTCTGTGACCCCCAGTTGAAACCAGAAGAAAGAGAATCTTGTAACCCTCAGGACTGTGTCCCTGAAGTTGGTGAGTTCGGGGTTCCCATCCGGGAGAAAAGAGAAAGGGCCCCCTCTAGCTCTGTCAAGTTATCCAGTGTGGAAACGGCTCATCCTGTTCTCTCTGTGACCTTGTGCACAGCAATGGCGGGGTGGGAGGTGGGGGAGAGTCTCAGGGTGCTTCAGCTATTATAATTTCACAGTTTTAGACTGCAGCCCACTGGGGTGTCCTCCAAGTTTCATAATGTGGGCTCCCGGCTGGAGATTTTTAGCAGCTTTAACCTTGACACAGTCATCTTAAGATACATCAAAGGTCATCAAAGTCTTGTTTATACATTCTATTTTGTTAACCTTGTAATTTCCTTTTCTTCCCCTTCATTGGATTTTATATTGGAAGTGAAGTACCGCCCCCCCCTAAAGACACGATAGCTAAATCTAGAAGACCAAACCAGAGTGGCTTTTAAAGAAAAAATCACGGCTGGGGCTCAGTGTCAGAAAGCTGGCCAACCGTGCACAAAGCCCTAGGTTTGATCCCAGCACCACAGAAACTAGGCACAGTGGCATGTGCCTGTGATTCCAGCCCTCCAGGGTAGAGGCAGGAGATTCAGAAGATCAAGGTCATCATCTCCTACATAATCAAGTTCAAGGCCAGCCAGGGACACATAAAAACCTGTTTGAAAAACAAAACCCCTCTCACTTCTTATTAGTGAGAAATCTTTGCCGAGCATGTGCTGGCTGGGAGATGGGCTACAGAATACACTAACTGGTTATGGCAGTCACTCCTTGCTTTGAAATCTATACAGACAATTCCAAGGATATGGCGGTTTTCACCATCTTTAATTACCCATGTCTGTGAGCCTGGGACAACTTTCCTTTCTGATGCTATATTCTAATGCAACCTTTATAAAAAGCAACACAAGGATCAATTGGCAATCCAAATTTAAATTGCTTCAACTGTGTGGTGTTGCCAAGGAAAATAAATAAATAGCCTGTGTGCGTGACCCAGCCATAGGAATTCCATCAATATTTGTTCTGAAGCCTCCTGCCCGCAGGGGCCTTTTTACTGATTATACCACATTTTCCTAAGATGTGTTTCAAGTGTGTTCCCATATCTCTTCTTCCTTCTCCTCTCCTCTCCCTTCTTTTCTTTTTCTTTCTTTTTTTTAAGATAGAGTCTCTCTGGCCTGTGCCTGGCTGTGCAGGCTAGGCTGGCCGCCCAGCAAACTTCAGAGACCACCTGCCTCATCCTCCCAGCACCAGGATTACAAGCATGCACTGCATGCCCAGCTCTTTCATGTGAGTCCTGGGGGTCAAACCCAGGTCCTCAGGCTTACACAGTAACTGCTTTTACCATCTGAGTCATATTCCCAGCCCTTGAGCAATGTAATCAAAATCCATACAGGACTTTTTATTAGATATATCAAATATGAACTGGATATATCAAAAGGTTTGTATCCAATAAGAGCAAAGAATAGCCAGGGAAGTTTTGAGGCTGAACGGTGTTGGGGGACTTATCCTGACACAAATCAAGGCATGTTGGCACAGGGGGAAATGACAATCTGAAAATATAAAATAGTTCCCAATGAACCAAAGATGCTTGCTATGTGATGGGGTCAGTATATGAGTCTGGGGATAATGAAATGATAATGAAACAGTCCATGTATACTTATGTGTACAGAGGAACAGTAAAATTGAATGCCTGCCTCTCAACACACAGACACACACACACACACACACACACACACTAACGCCACCATCACCACCACCATCACCACCACCATCACCATCACCATCACCATGGTGTTCCTGGTGAATTAGGGAAATAAATGTAATCAGAAATTTTAAACTTTAAGAAAAGACTTTGAGGAAAAACAAATTTCTGTCAGAGTAGGGAAGAATTTCTTAAACGAAAACCCCAGAGCACAAACCCCAAGGAAAAATACTAGAATACCAATAATGTTAAAATGGCAAGCGTCTGCTTATCATGTGAAGGAAGTGCCAGGAAGAGCTATGAACCCGAGAAGATAACTTGCAACACAGGAACCAGGAAAGATGTGGACCATTGCATGGAGAGAACCGCTCTCAGCAAAGGGAACCTGAGCGGCAAACCCCGCTTCAGTGTGCCCCGCGTCACGCCAGGATCATCTTGCCCCGCATCACGCCAGGATCACCTTGCCCCGCATCATGCCAGGATCATCTTGCATCCTCCAGACAGACAAAAATACAGCTCAGGGTGGGGACGGTTCTGCCCACCCGAGGGTGCACTTCAGCTGGTAGAGCGCTTGCCTGGCATGCACGGTGTCCCGAGATTGATCTCCAGCACAGCATAAACCAGCTGTGCTGGCCCCCTCCCCCTGGAATCATCCCTGGACGCTGGAGATGGAGGCAGGAGGATCAGGAGTTCAGTGCCATCCTCCAGCATCAGGGCCATCTGAGGCTTCCCATCCTCCTGTCAAGAAAAAAAAAAAATGGAATTCTCCTCTTCTGCCAAGAGAAAATGCAAATAGATTCACATCGTCTGGCAGGCAGCCATCCCATCTAGAAGGCTGTATGTATCTTAAAACCCGGAAAGAAGACTTTTTAAAATGCTCAAAAGATCACTCATTACTTATAACTGGGAAAAAATGGAAACAAATGTCTACCGATGGAAAATGGATAAGTTATATATTTACATGGATATATCCTCCCCAATAATAAAAATGAATGCATGAACTCACTATCAAGCAAGCAAGCAGTGGCCAAGAACCATGGGTCACGTCTACCTTTTCTTCAGTTGAGATGCCACACAGTGGTTAAGGACACTGTCACATACAGCTCAAGTGAGGAAATGGTCAGAGGCCTGGGGAGATGCTCAGCGGGGAAAAGCGCCTGCTGTACAAACCTCAGGGTCTGAATTCGGATCCCCAGCACTCCCTTGAAAGCTGGGTGCAGTTCCCCATGCCTGTCACCCCAGTTCTGGGGAGGTAGAGACAGGAGGCTTGCTGGCCAGCCTGTCTAGCCAATCAGTGAGGTCCTAGTTCAATGACCAGAAAAGCAGGTGAAGGAGGACGGTCTGGTAAGGCCCTGCCCATGAAGAGCCAAGGAGCCACTATGGGTGTCCTTGGTGGCTGGGGGAGGAGTCACTTTCTCTGGTGGTGTAGCCGCTGTAAGTTGCCCGTGCTCTGGTAAATAACCCCCCACCCATGGCCATGCAAGCAACACCGGTTAAACTTATTTTAACATGACATAAAAATAGGCCAATTCTAGGTACCCTCCATGATCATTTTCTCCTTTCTCCTTACATCTTTATGGGAAGAAACCCTCAAATTCAGTGTTCATTATCCCTGTTCTATCTCTTCATCATGATCACTACTTTATTATTATTAGTTTGGGACCAGGACCTCACTATGATGCCCTGGATGGCCTTGAACTCCTGGTCCTTCTGCTTCAGCCTCCCAAGTGCTGGGATTACAGGATCTCTCCCACCCGCGTCCCAAAGCCACTTGGTCGCAAGTAAACTCACAGAGGCTTATATTATTTTCAAACTATATGGCCTAATGGCTCAGGCTTGTCACTAGCTAGCTCTTACATCTTAAATCAACCCATTTCTATAAATCTATACCTTGCCACGTGGCTTGTGGCTTACCTGTACTTTTACATCTTGCTTCTCCTGGCAACGGCTAGCAGCGTCTCCTCACCCTCCTTTCTTCTCTCACTGTCTTTCTTGGATTTTCCCGCCTGGCTCCATCCTGCCCTGCCATAGGCCAGTGCAGCTTTGTTTATCAACCAATCAGAGCAACACATATTCACAGCATACAGAAAGACATTCCACAGCACTTAAACACATATTTCTTTTTACTGTGTACATGCATATGTGGTGTGTGTGTGTGTGTGTGTGTGGTGTGTGTGTGTGTGTGTGTGTGTGTGTGTGTGTGTGTACACCAAAAGTCATCAGATATCTTCTTCAATTGCTCTTCAATTTATTTTTCAAATGTCTTTTTTCTTTATTATTCTTTGACAAGCTCATATACATATATGATATTTGGGGATCATTTTCACCCCCTCTAACCCCCTTTCCACTTCTACTGAGCCCTAACAAGGCCCCTCCCTGGACATCCCTGACACCCGACTCTGGTCTCTGCACATGCTCCCTCAGGCTCCCTCAGGCTCACACAGACACACGGATAGAAACAGGGCCCCGGGCCGGGCGGTGGTGGCGCACGCCTTTAATCCCAGCACTCGGGAGGCAGAGCCAGGCGGATCTCTGTGAGTTCAAGGCCAGCCTGGGCTACCAAGTGAGTTCCAGGACAGGCGCAAAGCTACACAGAGAAACCCTGTCTCGAAAAACCAAAAAAAAAAAAAAAAGAAAGAAAAAGAAAGAAACAGGGCCCCGAGGAAGCCCTGCGTCCCCCGCCCTTTCTCTTCCCACCGGTCCTGGCTGTCTCTTGGGCTCAGGAGACTCTTCTGTTCTCTCCCACTGCAGACGAAAACTGCAAGGATAAGTACTACAACTGCAACGTGGTGGTCCAGGCGCGCCTCTGTGTCTACAACTACTACAAGACCGCCTGCTGCGCCTCCTGCACCCGCGTGGCCAACAGACACACAGGCTTCCTGGGGAGTCGGTAACACTCCTGCTCTCCTGGGGCTGCAAGCAGGGCACCCGGCTGGTTGCTGCTCCACCGGGGACCCCCACTCTCACCTTCCTGAAGAGTACCACATGGTCCCCAAGATGTTAGAGAGCCATGGCTGGCCCTTTGTGCATTGCTTTGTCCTGATGATTCCCTTCCTTGGGACCTGGCACCTGCTAATGGCGCCCACTGAAAACCAAGCAGCCAAGTGCATGCAGCTCTCATCCCAGTGTTGTGCTGGACCAATGGCCAAGCACAGCCTCCTTCCTGGTGCCCCTGGCCTGTCCAGAATTAGCACTCCTCCGGAAAGTCAAGAGAGGACAGCACCCCATCCTATATCACCAACAAGCTTTGCTGAGACCTGTGCATCCCTGTTACCTCAGCCCAGCTGTGCCTGTCACCTTCTTAATGACAATAGACTGTTTCCTGCCTCAGGACAGAGGGATCTCACAATAGAAAGCTTTCTTGTCTAGCGGGGACTTGCATTCTCAGACATTCGCTCGCTGGAGGCCGCAGCGTCATAGAATGGGAGGCAGGGGTTGAATAAGTGTTCCCACTTTACTATCAAGGAAACTGAGGCTCACCTCAGGTAACTGGCCTGCCATTTTGTGGCAGGGCTGAGTACCTACCTCAGATGGCTGAGCATAATCTCACCCCACGGTACCTCCAGGGACCAGCCTGGGGCCTGTCCATAGGCCTGTAGTCTAAAGGATGAACGGGGCTTCCTATCTGACCAGGAAGCTGAGAAGTTTTGCATTCTGTGAACAGAACCCAGGCTTCTGAAGCCCTTGCTCTGTCCCCAAGTGCTGCCTCAACCAAGTACTTAGTTCTTTCAAGATGTCCACACCCCTGTTCCCCTTCCCTCAGTCGCAGCTCCTGCTGACAGGACTCTGTGGTATTTGCTAAGTTCCATCTTCAACAGAACCGTCCCACAAGACAAGAAAGCCACAGGGAGAGCAAGAAGGGGGCCAGCGATTCTCTGGGCCACTCTGGAGCTGGAACAAACTCCCGAAGCCCACAAGCTCTTGTTCCACCATCCCTCCTGGGTTCTTCATGGTGTACCACCTGCCGGAAAGCCAAGCCAGTAGTCCCAGCAAATCTCCGGGTTGCAAAAGGCGGAGTCTTATTTGGCCCTTGTGGGTTGATTAAAGGGGTTCTCTCTCTCTGGTAGTCTCACATCTTTCCCCTCCCCCTCCTCCTCTTCCCTTCCCTTCTCTCCCCTCCCCTCCCCTGTGACTCATGACTCTTACTTCCCACAAGACTTGACCATCGAGATCCATGTTAATGATGCGGGTCTGGGAGACAGAGCTCTGAAGTCCTCCCCATCTTTACTGAATCACTTTACCCACCTGTAATTCCAGAGGCCCCAGGCCTGAAGGGTCTCAGTGCATATTGAAAGGTGAACCATCTCTAGGGGTTGGGGGAGACGATTAAGGGGAATATTTTTTTTTCTTACTTCGGATCCTAGGCATGTTTCTCTTAAAGCAAGCACATACCCTTAGCCCAGGGTCCCTCCCTGAGCTCATTGCCTGCACCAGGCAGTGTGGCAATCATTCACAGCCATGGGGATAGTGTCACCTGCCTGGTCTGACACACTCTGTTGGGATCCACTGGCTTTGGCCTTCTGTGAGGATCTCCCAGCATCCATCTCTGCCTGGGAAGCCAGGCACCACTTCCATCAGCAGCTCCGCCTCTCCTGGGGTTCATGCGGCACGCAGATACACAGCCAGGCAGAGCGCACGCTTACCATGCTAAGCACGAAGAGAAGCCACGGCACACACAGCTTCTGTCCGGTTCCCTCCCGGCCCCTCTCACTGCATGCTTTTGCTCATCCCAGGTAACTTTTCCTTTGTGCGGCCGTTCTCAGATCTTGCTGGACAAGCCAGTCATTTGAAGGTTTCCTTGGAAGGTGTTTGTGTACCTGCCAGAGGGTAAGGCATGCATGGTCTGTGGGTTAAAACAAGGCTTGGCATTAGCTCCAGGGAAGGAAAATGTCCTCTCAGCTGAAGCCACCAACAGTGGACTACACAGGGACTAAAGAACTTCTCTGTGGAGAATGAGCATCCTGGTCCTTCCAACTCACAAATTCTCAGGGCTGGGCTGGATTGATGATGGCTTTGTCTGTCCAGTGTCTCAGACATCACCTCATAGTTCTTAGAAAGGGCAATGATCGCCTGTGGAGTGGGAGTAGGTCAGAGCCAAGGGTCAGGCCCTGGTCTTCAGGCAAAAAAAAAAAGAAAAGAAAAAAGAAACACCTCACCTGAGTTCAATGGATTTTTCCAGAAAAATGAGCTGTGCTCAGGAGTTCAGTCACTTTTTAAAGGTTATAGATTTCTAGAATGGAGTCGATTAACCTCTGTGTTGCAGAAGGCCAACCTGGCAAATGTCTTGGTTTCATCTTCCATCACCTGTACGGCTTTTCTCCCTACCACAGTGTGTGCGGTGGGGCCTTGGGGATCCCCAGTGATCACCAAGGAAGGGATGCCTGTACCCAAAGATGGTTCTTTATCTGCTATCTCCTTCTCAGGACTCTCCACATTCCCTTCATTGGCTGTGACGTGGAATTGAAATCTATATTTCAATACTGATTATCCCCCGCCGTGAGCCAGAGGGCCACATCCCCAGCTCTGAATGAAAAATTAGATAAATTAAAGCTACTGTGTAGTCTTTCTCAACAAAAATCAACAAAGCCCCAAATGAAAAGCATGTGCTGTTTCTCTCTCACTGAGTGGAAGAAAAGAACCTTTCTTGCAGCCCTTGTGGAGTCTATTTCGGTTTACCTCCCAGGGCCTGCAGGAAATACGCCATCCGACCACTAGAGGGAGCAGTTCCCTTCTCGTAAACCATGCTCAACCTCAAATACGCCATCTGACCACTAGAGGGAGCAGTTCCCTTCTCGTAAACCATGCTCAACCTCGTAGCCTGGGAGCTTTGCTCTTCCATCTCTGTCTGGCTCAGGGAGGGAGTTCTCACAGCTGCCCCAGCTGCTCCTTTGCATCACTTGTCAGCCCAGGATTTCTGGGTTTTGTCCTCCTTCCTTGCTGTTAGTACGCATCATCTATTTGTTCTCTGAGCGTTTACACCCAACACTCTCTCTTGAAAAGGTAGCTTTCCAGAGGGCTGGAAAGTGGGAGATGCTAGCTTAACTTGTTGTGTGGTGTGGAGAACTCCAGACACTGCTAACACCTGTCCAAGATAGTCTCCTTGTTTTATTAATAGCTGTCTTTGAGTTGGCATGTGAGTTTTCCTATGTAAATATGAGGAACAGAATGAAAGACTACATCACCACAGGGCGAATGATCTGTCAGCCCTGCAGGTGGAGGCCGGCATCTGATCCTTGCCAGATAAAACATGTATGTCTGTGTGTGTGGCTTAGATGTCTTAGGAGAAAACTGGCCGATGCCCTCACCTCAGAGAGCCAACTGCTAGGGGCAGAGGAGTCTGGAAAGAGTTATTAAAAATAAAAAGTGGCCAAGCGGTGGTGGCGCACACCTTTAATCTCAGCACTCGGGAGGCAGAGGCAGATGGTTCTCTGCGAGTTCGAGGCCAGCCTGGGCTACAGAGTGAGTTCCAGGAAAGGTGTAAAGCTACACAGAGAAACCCTGTCTCAAAAAACCAAAAAATAAAAAATAAAAGGTGAAGAGAAAGCCCAGATCTCAACAGTTAGTTCACTGGGAAGCAGCTAACGCCTATCTTTGGATTAAAAGAATAACTGTGTAGTTGAAAGGGAAGAATTTCAGCCAAGTTCAAATGATTCAAGCAAGTGGGGAGGAAGCGTCAAAATATAAATGATGCCTGGATGAGTAAGCCAGCTCTATAAACATGGTGCCTCAGCTGCAACGTCCAAGGCTCAGAACCCACATGCAAAAAGCCAGATGTGGTGCTACTCACTTGTGATCCCAGCATGGGAGAGGCGCAGACAGGTGGGTCCCTGGGGCTCACTAGGTGGCCAGCCCAACCTACTTGGCAAGTTCTAGGCCAGTGAGAGACGGTGTCTCAGAGAAAGCATTGTGGATGTCACCTGAAGAACAACACTTGGTGCTGCCCTCTGACCACCACGCACACACACGTGTGTCTGTGTAGAAGCCATTCCACAAGCCACCAAGGCCACAGAGATAACATGGGTGGAAGTCAAGATACATATGTCTGTAGGAAGACTACTGCTCATATGTCACGTTTAGGTGGGGTTTTCCAACCCTGATAAAGAGGACAGACTGTTAGACACATTGTGTGTGTGTGCGGGGGACTTCTGAGATGTGACATCTGCAGACGAGACTCCCTGAGAATCCTCAGTGAAACAGAATAACAAACTTCTGCAAGCTAGAACCTTCTGTGGGTGTAGGGATGCCGGAGACAGTAGCCTCTCCTTAGACGTGGCAGTGGAGACAGGATGGGTATGTCAGGATGTGGGAAGGGATCTGGATATCTTTCTTGGCAACACGCTGTTCAAGGTCATCTCCAAGTCCAGGGTTCTATGGCTCTCCATGTGACACTGCTCTGAGTGTTACGTCTGCTTAGAGGCAGCAGGTGACTGCTCTCCTTCATCTTGTTCGTAACTGCTACCACCTTGTCACCATTTGAAACCCCTCAGCGCCCCTTCCTGTGAGTAGCATGTGGCCTCATATGGCAGCCACTGTCAGCCTGGTCAGAGCTGTCTCCATATGTGTGCTTCACAAAAAGAACACACAGACATGGGCCAGCTAACTGCCTGCCTAGGGTCATACACCTCCATGGAGGCAGCCTTGACTAGCCTGGGACACTCACCTCCAATCTCTTTTGGAAGGACACCTTGCTGACAAAGAGTAACTCTCAACCCCAAACTGTCCTTTATTTTTCTGAATCCTCGTTCCGATGGGAATACCCATCGTGCTGTGGAAAGTGACCCCAAGAGTTCGGAAACGCCCCGCCTCTTGAGATGATGAGCCCCTGGTCTCAGTGAGAGAAAAATCCATTCTGTTACACCCGCTAACTCCCCCTTTCCTGCCTCCCCAGCCCCCCAATATCCACCCGACAGAAGGATATACTTTGCTATAACTTATTATTATGTTCTCTGTAAATACAAGATGTTTATAGGAAATGTGTATTCTGAACTATATCTGCAGAGTGGATTGCGACATCAAAATAGTTCTGTTTATTTAGAATATGTTCATTGTTAAAGGGACCTAATAGGTATTTATTTACATATGCCATCCACATTTTCATAAAATCATTTGCTCATACTAACTCAGCTTCCTGGTATGTTGCTGCCCCACGGTGTCTTATTCTAAGTTTAGTACAAACTTTTGGGGGTTTAAGATCGAATATAACTGACTCTACTTTTGACATATTCAGGGGTCTCCCCAACCCCCCATATTGTGCCTGACTAAGACTGCCACCTTTCTGTCTTAACTACTCTATTTCCTCATATAATCCGCCCTCTCCTCACACCCGGACACCTGGAGAAGGGCAGGGTGTTTCTCATCCCCTCTCAGTGTGGCCAGCTGTTAGCTTCACCAGCCTCGGTGCTCAGGAGGTCAGAGCCGTGGACGACTCGGGCTGAGGGGGTTGGGAGAAGCTGGGGACATGTGGCTGCATCTCAGCTCTGGTGACAGCTCCGGGGTCCTTGTTGGGGGTTGCTGGGGCCGGGGCCTCGAGGCTGACCTGTGAACTGCAGACCCGGGAGTGAGAAGCCCACAGAGGACAACATCAATCCGTGTCTCCTTTACAGTGTTAAGTTATTATAGAAGGAGGAGGCGAGCAGAAGGTGAATTATATGAGCAAATATGGGCTGTTTTCAGCACTATTTTGTGTACAACTAATTTATTTTTATTGTAAAAATACAATAAACTGGGTAAATAGTTAACATATTTGTGTTCTTGTTTGTTCAGTCACTGTTCTGCTGCTGTGAAGAGACACCCTGAGCCAGGCAACTCTTATAAAGGAAAACGTTTAGTTGGGGGCTTGCTTACAGCTTCAGAGGCTTAGTCCATGATCATCATGGTGGAGAGCATGGTGGTGTGCATGGCTCTGGAGCAGTAACTGAGAGTTTTACATCCTGATCTGCAGGAAGGGGAGGGAGGGGAGGGAGGGAGGGAGAGAGAGACGGCCTAGGCCTGCCATGGGCTTTTGAAATCTCAAAGCCCACCCTCAGTGACACACTTCCTCCAACAAGGCCACACCCCCTAATCCTTCTCAAACAGTGCCAGTCACTGGTGACTAAGCATTCAAATGTAGGAGTCCATGGGGGCCATTCCTATTCAAACCACCGCATTGCTTTGTTCACACCTGTGTGTAATTTTCCCCGAGAGATGAATAAACTGCTGCTGACCTCAGATAAAGCACTGAGAACCCAGAACAGTCCCACTTGAGTCTAACTGGGTGATCCAATGAGATTGATACAGGGCATGGGCAACCTGTGAGTGGTTAAAGCCACTGAAGAAAACGGCTCTGGTCACCAGCGATGGCTGCATAGCCCCAGGGAAGGGGAAACTTAGTGAGCACCTCCCCCTCCACGGCAGAAGTTAATGGGCACGATCTTGTGCAGATCTCCTATGGAGAATCAACGCTACTGAATTCAAGAGGGCAAAATCCACATGCCCGAATTCCCCAGGGATGGCTGTTCTGGTTTCATTCTGATGCTGTAACAAATACTGTGACCCATAGCAAGCTGGGGGTGGCATATGGCTTACACTTCCAGGTTGCAGTCCATCATTGAGGGATGTCAGGGCAAGAACTAAAGCAGAGACCATGGGGCAATGCTGCTAGCTGGCTGGCTCACTGCCCCATGCTCAGCCAGCTTTCTTATACAGCCTAGGACCATATCCAGGGATGGGGCTGCCCACATCAGTCATCAGTCTAAAGACTCTCTCACTGACAGAGCCACAAGCCAATCTGATCTGGGTCATCCGTTAACTGAGACTCCCCCAAATGACTCTAGGCTGTGTCAAGTTGACAGCTGAAGCTAACTAAGACAATGATCTGTCTACGTGACATCCAGAACTCCTCCCAAAAGAAGAATTGAGCAAGCCGGGCAGTGGTGGCACATGCCTTTAATCCCAGCACTCAGGGGGCAGAGCCAGGCTGATTTCTGTGAGTTCAAGGTCAGCCTGGTCTACAGAGCAAGATCCAGGACAGGAACCAAAAAACTACACAGAGAAACCCTGTCTTGAAAAACGAGAGAGAGAGAGAGAGGGAGAGAGAGAGAGAGAGAGAGAGAGAGAGAGA